GTTACATGGTGTCATAGAACATGGCGGCAGCTGAAGTTACTTTATTTTTTATAAATATTTTCTGATTTGGAGGGATTTGAAAGGTTGTAAGGATTGGAGAAAATGTCTTGTTGGTCATCTTGTTGGTCATATAACCTAGTCTGTCTCATTTTTTGGGTGGGGGCATGTGTTTGTAGTGATAACTTGTGACATATAATTTGTCTTTTAAAAATGCTTATTGAATTGAACTGTGGGTGTCAGCAATAAAAAGCAATGCACAATAAGCATCAAATACATGGTTCAAACTAGAATGTAGGGAAATGAAGAGATTTTCTCACCTGGGGTGGTCGGAGTAAATTTTATGGAAGAAGTATTATTTGTACTGGGCTTTAAATGACAAGGAAGAATTTGATAATCAAGGACACGGGAAGAATGCATTCTAGTTGGGAAATATGAGTAAAGTATGGTGATATGAAATATTGTTTAGGTTTTAATAAATAAACTTGTTTAATTGAAGCAGAACATTCAGATAAAGGAGTCTAGTAAGATCAGATTAGAAAAGTAGGTTGAATCTAAATTTATACTTTATCTTTTAGTCAGTGAGAATCCATTAAAGATTTCCTTTATCAGAAGTTCTTCTGTATGTACATGTATGTAATTCTAGCTGTCATGGAGGTTGAGGTTGGTTGCCTCTGGAGATCAGAGCTATGTAGGCTTAGCTGATCGTTGTCCAGTCTAAGTCCAGCACCAGTATAGTAGGTCCCCAGGTATGGTGAGATACCAGGCCACTCAAAGAGGGTTGAATTAGCCTAGATTGGAAATGGAGGAGGTTAAAGCTTCCATGCCACTCAGTAGTACGATAAGGTCCATGAGTTATACCGTTATAACCTGGATTAAGGTAGGGAGAAATAGTCCTTTAAAAAATGGTGAGGGAGGTGGACCTAAGAGGACAGATTAGGGGCAGCCACTCAGCTGATTTCTCTCAATATTCCCTTCTGAAGAACTTTAAAATAACACCTCAAATCAAATTTTGGAGCAGCAGAGCCAACAAAAGTTTGGATTGACACAATTTTCTGGCTTAAAAAAACTTAAGAGGTTGACAGGAAAAGTCTGTGACACTGGGGTGGAGGCTTGTACAGAGCCCATATACAGCAGTAACAGTAGCTTTGGGAGTTCTTAGCCCAGAGAAAGTAAGGGGGTCAGATAACTGGTCAGAAAGAGATTAAGGAGAACCATTTGTTGTCACTGTTACATATGGTAGTGGTTGACAACTGTGTTGCCTACATACAATTCTGGATCACAATTCCAGGTCAAAGAGGAGTGCTGGTGGTAAGTTACAAGAGAGTGAGGGCCTGGTCACAGTTTCAAGGCAAAGAGAGTGCTAGTACTTGTAGCTGTGGGGGATGAGAGGCCCTTCCTGGGTAAAATCAGAGTGCAGACCAGGAGAGCAATGACCATACCTCTCCCAGGATCATACTTCTTGGAATTACAAAAAACTTGTAGACCCCCCCCTTCCCCCTCCCGCCCAGAACTAGCTCTGAAAACAGCAGCATGAAAAAGTCTAAAGCTTTGGACAGTGCCACTCCACCCACAGGTAAGCAGAGCCCAATTTAACTTTATGCTTAATTTGAACTTTATAATTCAAAGTCAAGAAATAGGCTGGAAAAGTGAGCAAACAACAACAACAAAAAGTTGACCACAAAAAGCTACTATGATGACAGAGAAGACCAAGACATGAACTCAGAAGAAAATAGTATTTTAAAAATAGCCACAAGCATAGCCTCAAAGAAAAATGCTAATTTGCCACAACCTCAACAAGAATTCCTAGAAGAGCTAAAGAAAGATAAGAGCAGTACCGGAAAAATTTGGAAAAGAAATGAGAGTGACGTAAGAAAATTATGAAAAGAGAATTAATAGCTGCATACAAGAGGCATCAAAATAACTGAAGAAAATAATGCTTTAAAAAATGATATTGGCCAAATCATAAAAGAGGCAAAAGCTACTGAAGAGAAGAAAAAGAGGCAAAAAAAATAAGAGGTGAAATCTACTGAAGAGAAGAACTCCTTAAAAATCAGAATTGGCCAAATGAAAAAAGAGGTGCAAAAATTCACTGAAGAAAAGCAGAATTGGCCAATTGTAAAAAGAAGTACAAGATTTCATCAAACAAAATAATTACTTAAAAATCAGAATTGAGGACGTGGAAGCTAATGACTCCATGAGATAACAAGAAACAATAAAACAAAGTCAAAAGAATGAATAAAAATGAAGAAAATGTGAACTACTTCATCAGAAAAACAACTGATCTAGGAAATAGATCCAGAACAACTAATTTCAACATTAGATTTCCTGAAAGCTATGTTCAAAGAAAAAGCCTAGACATCTTCTTTCAAGAAATTATCAAAGAAAACTCTCTTGTTATCTTAGATCCAGAGAGTAAAGTAGAAATCGAAAGACCCCTGAAAAAGATTGCAAAATGAAAACTCCCAAGAATATCATAGCTAAATTCCAGAGCTACCAGGTCAAAGAGAAAATATTGCAAGCAGCCAGAAGGAAATAATTTAAATATCATGGAGCCACAGTCAGGATCACACAGGATTTACTGAAACAGAGGTCTTGGAATGTGATATTCCAGAAGGCAAAGGAGTTAGTGTTACTACCAAGAATAACCTACTCAGCTAAACTGAGTATAACCCTTCCAGGGAAAAAATAGGTTATTTAATGAAATAGAGGATTTTCAACCATTTCTGAAAAAAAAAAACAAACAAACAGCTGAATAGAAAATTTGTCATTGAAACATAAGACCCAAGAGAATCATGAAAAGGTAAATGTGAAATATTTATAGCAGCTCTTTTTGTGGTGGCAAAGAACTGGAAATTATGAGGATGCCTGTCATTTGGGGAATGGCTGAACAAGTTGTAGTATGTGATTGTGATGGGATACTATTGTGCTATAAGGAACACTGAGCTTGATCATATTAGAAAAACATAGATAAAAAGTCTCATGATGGAAAATGTTATCCACATCCAGAGAAAGAACTATGGAGTTTGAATGCAGATCAAAGCATACTATTTGCTCTTTTTTTCCCCTCTGTCCTGTTTTGTTTTGTTTCTTCTTTCTTGTGGTTCCTCCTATTGGTTCTAATTCTTCTTTACAACATCACTAAGGTGAAAATATGTTTAAGAGGAATGTATATATATAGAGGAGGGAAGGGCATAAGAGAAAGGGTATAGGTGATGATGAAAAGGAAAGTGATTAAGGGAGGCAGTGGTTACAGAAAAATAGACTTTAAGAGATGGACAGGATAAAAAGAGAGAAAGAAATAGAAGAAAATAGGATGGAGGGAAATAATGTACATTAATCAAAACTGTGAATGGTATGAGTTCATCCATAAAATGGAAGCAGATAGAAGAACGGATTAAAAAACAGAATCCAACAATATGATGTTTACAAGAGACACACTTGGAACAGAAAGACACACAGGTTAAAATAAAGGGTTAGAGCAGAATCTAGTATGCTTTAGCTGAAGTAAAAAAAGGCAGAGGTATCAATTATGATCTCACACAAAGCAAAAGCAAAAAGAGACTTGATTGCAAGAGATAATCAGATTAACTATGTTATGTGAAAATGTATCAAAGATAATGAAAAAATATAAAACAAAATATTATAGCAAGTTTCTCTGGTAAAGGCCTCATTTCTCAAATACATATTGAGTGTAGAACTGAGTCAAATTTATAAAAAACAAGGCCTAGTCTCCAATTGATAAATGGTCAAAGGATATAAACAAGCACTTTTCAGGAGAAGAAATCAAAGCTATCTAGTCATATGAAAAAATACTCTAAATCACTATTGATTAGAGAAAGGCAAATTAAAACAGCTTTGAGGTACGACCTCACATCTATCAGAAATGATAAATGCTAGGGGGATTGAGGGAAAAATAGGTATACTAATGGTGGAGCAGTGGACTGGTCCAGCCATTCTGGAGAACAATTTGGACCTATGCCCAAAGGGTGATATGATATGACTATGCGTGCTCTTTGCCTCGGCAATACCACTACTAGGTCATTATTCTAGAGAGATCAAAGAAAAAGGAAAGGGACCTATATGTACAAAAATATTTATAGTAGTTCTTTTTGTGGTAGCAAAGTATTAGAAATTGAGAGGATGCTCATCATTTGGGGAATGGCTGAACAAGTTGTGACATATGATTGTGATGGAATACAATTGTGCCATAAGAAATGATGACAGGAGTGGTTTCAGTAAAATATGGTAAGGCCTATATGAACTGATGCAAAGTGAAGTGAGAATTGGGAGATCGTGTTGTGTACAATAATATCAATGTTCTAATGATGATTAACAATGAAAGACTTGGCTACTTTGAGCAAAACAATGATCCAAGACAATTCCAAAGGACTCACAATGAAAAAATGCTATCTCCAGAGAAAGAACTGATGAACTCTGAATGAAAATTAAAGTATGACTTTCTCATTTTCTTTATTTTTCTTGTTTTATTTGAAATATGGCTAATATGGAGATATGTGTTGAATGATTTCACAGGTATAATTGATATCATATTGCTTGCATTCTCAGTGAGTGGAGGAGGAAATGAGAGATATGGGTGAAGGTTGAGTTCCATTAGGGGTATTAAGTTAAGGGCCACCAATGGCCGGTTCCTGAGTTGGTGAAGCCAGGCATTTTTAAGGGGACCTGAGGACAACCTGCTCTTCTGTACCCATTTTCTTATCCATCTGTCAGATGGGTGGGTTACCTTCATCTTGATGGCCTTTATCAGGGCTTATCAGGCCTCCCAGAAAAGCATGGGATGCTCCATTAGTTGCAGAAATAGTCTAGTCATGGACCAAGTGAAAGGGGAAGTGCATGGAGACTCTGGGCATCTTGTAAGAGACAGCAAGTTAGTGTTAAAGGATCACATGAGCATTGTTTACACTATAATCATATTCATGATGAAAATAAAATGAATAGCAATTATCCTAGAAAATATCCTCTTTTTCCTCCTGTTTTAGGTACCTGACTGCAAATAGCAATCAGAATTTCCTGTGTGTCACAAGGCCATTTTTAAAAAGAGCTGCTTTGGTTATAAGCTATGTAAGTATAGAAATACTTTTGAGTTCTCTAACAATGAATATCTTCCATACAGTTTTGTCCAGAGATTGTAGCAATGTTACTCAATGGAATTAGCCACAGAACCTACCTGGCAAGTAAAACCAACGTGTTAATGTTCTTATGTTTTAGAGTGAAGGTTACAAAGCACCTTACAAATTTCAGTAAGAATGTGTATCTTAAGTTGGTATACCAGGATGATTCTTTTGCCCCAAAGTAAAGAATATATTCTGCAAGCAAAGGATCACTTAGTTACCCTGAAAAGAATACTACAAAAATTTATGAAATACATATGTAGGCAGGTTTGAAAAAAGAGTCTGTGCAGAAGTAGATATAAAAAAAATCAGCAGAGACAACATAAGTACAAGATGCCAAAAGATTCAGGAGTTATTTTTCTGGGAGCTTTTAGGTTGCACAATTTATGTTATATTAATTCAATCATAGCAACAGTTATAAAATGTTAATCATTCCATTATACTCTGGCTTCTTGATATATACTCACTTTTCTTACAACACCTTTTAAATTTTATTGCTGTTCTTTTTTGTTTCATTTATTAAAATCCTTCCCTTCCCTTCACTGCTATCAATAAAAAAAAAAGCATTTTTCAAGAATTTTTTCCCCTTAGGGGTACTAGGTGGCATGGTGGACAGAGCATCAGTTCTGGAGTCAGGAGGACCAGAGTTCAAATTTGGTCTCAGCCACTAACTTTGTGAAGCAGGGCAAGCCATTTAACCCTGATTGTCTCAAAAGAAATTTCTTTCCCCTGCCAATTACATAGTTTACAAATACTCTTAAATAAAATTTAGATCCTTAAAAACGATCTGAAAATTTGCCAAACACCCTAAATCTGCCAATTCACCCTAAAGCTCAGAGTCTTTATGATTTTATACTGTATTGAAAATTTGATAAACCCAATCTGTAACTTCTGAAATGCTTTTGAATCTTGCTGTAAATTCCTCATTTTATTTTAAAATTTAGATTTGTTTTTGTAAAATACAGCTGTGTTATTTGTCCTAAAAATCTGAATCAACTATGCTTGCAGAGAAGACAGTCCTTAGGCTTTATTCAAGAAAAGTACTACCATTGGCTTTAGTAATATCACATACATAAGAAAACAGAAGCTAGAAGGTATAATTGCATGGACCTTCATAAAACAAAATTCATTACAATTAAATGTTACTCTGACCTGTGTAAAACTCAGGCTAACTATCTTAATATAATTCTAGAATATGATAGTGAAATCTAAAAAGATAAAAGAGGGAATATTTTCTTTGTTGTAAAAAAAATCAGTCTTATTTGGTTTAGGATAATTAAATATTGAAAGCTTTGAGACTCAGGAGGTAAAATGTTTGATATAGCTATTTAAAAATGTCTGTAAGTATTTGTATTCAATTCAATTAAGGAAAAAGTGTCTACTAACTTCCAGGTCCCATAGAGCTTATAATATGTGATACTAAGTCATGGACATGTTGTGTTTTGGGGAACTCTTCCCCCCAGCTCACAGGGCAGGTCTCCTGGTGATGACTACCCCAAGTTCAATTGACTCTGTTGATCTGAATCCACTAGAATGATGGGGACTTGTAAGCGCCCATCAGTGTATATAGAAGCCACAATATATGATTAATTTGTAGCAAAAACATTTAATGAAATGATGTAATAAGAAAGGTCACAATAAAGCATATTCCCCATAAATCTGGGGTATAGTCTTGTACAAATAATTCATCATTGGGAGGGGAGCCATATGTGTTGAGAACATGTCTGGTCAGGTCATATGCATCATGGGAAAGCTTGTATCTCTGATTCTGTCTGGCCACTAAAGCCTTATAAAATTGTTATTGTTTTGCTCTGACTGCTCACCTTTTATAGTCTTCATTGGGCAACCCTCTATCAAACATAAAGTCTTTGTCAAATGTTGCTGTTGTAGACACAGACATAGTTTTCACCAGATGCTGCTGTGCCAGACATGTTGTCTCTGCTGAATGGTATTCCTTTGAATGTATCTCTACAAGCAAAGTTGGCTTGTGGTCTTTTGGACATATGATTTCTGCTAAATGCTGTCAGGTTCACACTGGACACATGACTGTGGAGCTTCTCTTTGCACTAGCTTCTGGCTTTAGCTGAAATCTTTGGCCACAATGTTTTCTCTTTTTCATGGAGAATGGACTTTGCCAAACTCTTTTAGTTCGTAAGATCAAGGCTTTTAGAAAAAATGATTATCCTAAAATAAATAAAAATATCATACATATATCATAAAAATATCAGCAGCCCTTCCTGGGAAGTTGAGAAACCCTCCTTGCTCTTTTTCTTCATGTAGGGGCCTGTCTGTTCCTTTCCAGAGTCTTGGCTAGAAAACTTTTCATCTCTAGCAGTGCTCTTTGTCTGACATGCCAAGGTCATTAGGACACAGCTATTATCTTAAGGCTTTATCTTTTATTTGGATTGAACTTTTAAGTTGTAATCTTGGAACTCAATGGGTGACTTAATTCTACTTTATGATGATCATTTCATGTACTTACAAATTTTAATCCGTAAAGACTGGGCTGTCATCTAGTTAAAGGCTATTTACTTAGCAACTGCCAAATAGCTGTAGGGTTTGGGAAACCCCTGTCTTTTCAACTCCATATCCCTTCCACTTGCCCGTCCAGAAGAGTGGGCCAGGAAAGGCACAAAAACAAAGACAGGGGGCAAAGTCATCATCTCTTCTCTCTGCCCAATTACTAACTGACCTTTTATGTGCCAACATAGCCAGCCAGAGCATAAAGGAACTTTGCACTTATTTTTAAATATGCAAATAATTTATCATATAAGACGGAATGTGTCAAGTTCCATGGAGAGAACTAGATCAAGTCTTATGAGCTCAGCGGGTGCAAGAAGGAAGTAGCACCTAAGATGGGCCTTAAATGGAGACACACATTGTAGTAGGCAGAGATGAGGAAGGAGTGTATTCTAAGCATGACGGTTAGCCTGTGCAAATGTACAAAAATGGGAGAAAGAAGGATGGGATTAGGTGGTACGTGGTGGTTGAGATTAATCAGTATTTTGAATAATATGTTATGGGAAGTCATCTGAAATCAGTCTGAAAAAGGAAAGTTGGATCCAGAGGACCTTGAATGCTAAGTTTTTCTTTAGTTCTTGTGACTGCATCCTATACTGCTCTTCTTTTCTCTGACAGTCTTTCAACTGATTTTTAGCATTTGGACTTTTAAAGTGCTTTTTGTAAGAATTGCTTATAAAACTTAAAAATATGTATTTGTAAACCTTCTTAAAGTACCTTGCAGAAAGATGCTCCAGTACCTAACACGATCAAATTTTTTTCTTCCCAAAGGTAATTGTGACTTTATGCTTCCGAATGTGGATAATGGGAGGATCCATGCCATTGTTCTCAGAGCAGGATAATCCAGCTTCATTTTCACCTTACATTCTTACAAGGTACAGTGGAAATAACTAAACCTAAATTTACATATTCCACCTTCCCAGATTTGTTAAATGATCGCTTGCTGTCTTAAACTTAACTAAGTTATTGATGTCCTCTCTTAACAATGAGCCTATTAATTAAAAGGCCAGTGAAGAAAAGAAAGTACATTATAATGAATTTTTTTTAGCAAATGGTGAAATAGTAGTGACATTGTCATCATTATAACAAAACAAAGCTAAAATGTTAAATTTAAAAAATCTGGCTGTGATTACCTAGTCACTCAGTTAACAAGCATTTATTAAGAGCTTACTGTACGTCAGAACTATGCTAAGCATTCTGAATACAAAGAAAGACAAAGCCTTGAAAATGAGGAGGGAGCACATTCCAGTCATAGAGGACAGCCAGTGAAAATGCCAGTCAGAAGATGCATTTTCTGGTGCAAGGAACAATAAAGGAGGCCAAGGTAAGTGGATCATAGAGTATATGGAAGGAAATAAAGTGTAAGAAGCCTGGAAACATAAGAAGGGGCCAGGTTATCAAGGGCTTTAAAAATCAAACATAGGATTTCATGTTTGATTCTGGAGGTAATAGAACACTGGAGTTTATTGAATAGGGAGGTGACATGGTCAGATACGTGCTTTAGGAAGATCACTTTTTTTTGTGTTTTTTTTAATAAAAAATTTTATTAATTTATTTTGATTTATCAACAATCACTTCCATATGCTTTTGAGTTGAAAATTTTTCTCCCCCTTCCTCCCCCCCACCCTCCCCAAGACAGCACAATCTGATATAGGCTTTACATTTACATACCCATTAAACATATTTTCATATTAGTGAAGTTGTAAGTAAAAATTAAAACCAATAGGAGGAACCATCAGAAAGATGAAACAAAACTCAACAGAAGGTAAAAATAAGTGATAGTGATTCGACTTCCATAGTTCTTTCTTTGGATGTGGACAGCATTTTCCATCCCGAGGCCTCTGAAGATGTCTTAGATCCTCGTAATGCTGAGAAGGGTTCAGTTTAACAATATTAGTCCTTGCATAACGTGACTGTTATTGTGTACAAAGTCCTCTTAGTTCTGCTCACTTCACTCAGCATCAGACCATATAAGTCTTTTCAGGTTTTTCTGAAGTCAGCTTGTTCATCATTTCTTATAGTACAATAGTATTCCATTACATTCATATACCACAACTTGCTTAGCCATTCCCCAATTGATGGGCATCCTCTCCATTTCTAATTCTTTGCCACCACGAAAAGAGCTGCTATGAATATTTTTGCCCATGTGGGTCCTTTTCCCATTTTTTTGATCTCTTTGGGATGTAGTCCTAGAAGTGTTATTGCTGGATCAAAGGGTATGCACATTTTTGTAGCCCTTTGGGCATAGTTCCAAATTGTTCTCCAAAATGGTTGGATCATTTCACAACTCCACCGACAATGTATTAGTGTTCCAATTTTCCCACATCAGGAAGATCACTTTGACAGCTGAATCGAGGATAGAGAACCAATGATATCAGGAAGGTGATACCATGACTTGCAAGTGTATTGGATTTAAGTGAGTGAGGAGTATACAAATTCACCAGCCTCACTGTCTCCTCCCGAGCCATCTGGGTCCAGTGACAGGATATAGATCAGGACAACTGGAGATGGCCCAGGATGCAGTGGGAGACCTTGACCTTTTTAAGTTAAGGTCTTTCCCTGGTCTCAGTTGGACTGAAGCAAGGTCCATTCAGTGATTAAGGCTAGGTAAGAAATGAAGCAAAGAACAGCCTCTTTTGCCTAGTCAAAAAAAAAAAGGAAAGAAAAGAAAATTGCTGTTTACTCTCACTGTGAGCAAACAGGGCCCAAACAATGACCACTATGTGGGGCTTGGCCTGGGACCTATTGCTGGCCAATCAATGACAGCCAGAGTGATTTGGGTTTAAGGCATGGTCCTTAAGAAAGAAATCTAGTGGGTAAACCCCAAAATATCTTGTGAAATTTCAGGGATCAGAATTTATACTCCTTTAGGCGGAGCACCTGCAGGTAAGGGTATGATGCCCTATGTGAACAGAAGGAGAGGAGAGAGGGAGAGGAGGGAGGGAAAGAAGGAAGTAAGTTAGGAAGGAGTGAACTACATTGGCCAGCTGGAACTGGCCAGTTGGGTCCTCATTGGGACAGCTTGAACTACTCACGGGTTGTCGTTTGTCCTTCATTCTCAGAGAGGACCATGATATCAGGAAGGTGATGCCATGACTTGCAAATGAGTTGGATTTAAGTGAGGGAGAGCTGTGCAAAGTCACCAGCTTTGCTCTCTGCTCCTGAGCCATCTGGTTCTACTAGCAAGATGTAGGTCAGCTTCATTTGGTTATTGTTTGGGCCCTGATGGTTCAAAGTGGGTGTAAATAGCAATTATTTCTGTTCTGGCCAGAAACCTTGAGGGTCTTTCCCTCCCAGACTGATTTTTTTATGACTAGGTAAAAGAAGCCATTCTTTGCCTCATTTCTTACCTAACCTTAATCACTGAATGGGCATTGCCTAAGCCAACTTGAGACCTGGGAAAGAACTTAGCTTATAAGGCCAAGGTCTCCACTGAGTCCAGGACCATCTGCAGTTGTCTTGATCTGCATCCTTGGGGATTTGTTCTGTAAAACTTGGACTCACTCAAAAGGCTTCACCCAAGGACCGAGAAGGCCACATGTGGCCTCAAGGCCACAGATTCCCCAACCCTGACCTACAGTGATAGTAATAGGGGAGTTATGAGTTTCAATTTTAGACATGTTGACTTTAGGATGAGGATATGCAAGATGTTCAAGGTGTCTGAAAGGCAATTGGAGATTCAAGACTGTAGTTCAGAAAAGAGGTTGGGGTTGGATAAACAGATATGAGAGTCATATGCATAGAGATAATTGAATCTAATAATTGAACTGATAGAGGTAAAAGAGAGAGAGCCCAGGACAGAAACTTGAGGGACACCAGTTGTTAATGGGTATGACCTGGATGAAGCTATAGTAAAGGAAACTGAGAAGGATTATTCAGATGGGTAGGAGAAAACCAGGAAAGAACAGTATTGCAAAAACCTAGAAAGATGAGTTATCAAGGAGAAGAGGGTAACTGACAGTGCCAGAGGCTGCAGAGAAGTCAAGAAATATAAAGATTGAAAAAAGGGGGAGAGGATTCTGGGAAGATGGAGGAGTAGGTCAGAAAATTTACTAATGTTTTGTCTGTTTTGTTAGTTTTTCATAAAACCAGCTCCTAATTTTATTTATTAGTCCAATGGTTTTCTTACTTTGAATTTTATTAATATCACCTTTGGTTTTCAGGATTTCCAATTTGATGTCTAATTGGAGATTTACAATTTGTTCTCTTTCTAGTTTTTTAAGTTGCATGCCCAGTTTATTGATTTGTTCTTTCTCTATTTTATTGATGTAAGAGTTTAGAGATATAAATTTCTCCCTAAGTACTGCTTTGGTCTCATCCCATACATTTTGGTATATTGTGTCATTGTTCTCATTCTCTTTAATGAAATTATTGTTTCTGTGATTTGTTCTTTTACTCACTCTTTCTTTAGGACTGGATTATTTAGTTTCCACTTAATATTTAGTCTGTCTTTTCACTGCCCTTTATTGAATGTAATTTTTATTGCATTAAGATCTGAAAAGGATGCTTTAATGTTTTTGCTCTTCTGCATTTGATTATGTTGTTTTTATGCCCTGAAACATGTTCACTTTTTGTGTTGGTGCCATGTACCATCTAGAAAAAGTTATTTTCCTTTCTATTCCCATGCAATTTTCTCTCGAGGTCTATCATGACTAACTTTCCCAAAATTTTATTCATCTCCTTAACTTCTTTCTTGTTTAATTTTTGGTTAGATTTAATCTAGATCTGAGTGGGGAAAGTTGAGGTCCTCCATTAGTATAGTTTTATTGTATGTTGTACATTATTGTATACATTGTATAAATATTGCATATTTATTGTATCATTTTATATTGTACATAATATTATTGTATATATAGTATATTCTATATATTATTTTATATCCTGTAACTTCCTGTAACTTTTCATTTAAAAATTTGTATGCTATGTTTGGTTAGTGTAGACTTAGTACAGATATTGCTTCATTGTCTATGGTACCTTTTAACAAGATGTATTTTCCTTCCTTGTCACTTTAGATCTATCTTTCCTTTTGCTTTGTTTGAGATCAGGATTTCTTCTGCTTTTTTTAAAAAAATTTCTGCTGAAGCATAATAGATTTTGCTCCAGCTCCTTGCCTTTACTCTGTAGGTGTCTCTCTGCTTCAAGTGTGTTTCTGGTAAATGACATATTGTAGGATTCTGGTTTTTGATTCATTTTGCTATCTGCTTCTGTTTTATGAGTGAACTCATCCCATTCACATTCATAGTTACGAGAACTGTGTATTTTCCTCTGTCCTGTTTTCATCCTGTTTATTCTTTCCTTTCATCTTGTCCCTCCTCAAAAGTGTTTTGCTTCTGACCACCACCTCCCCTGTTCTGCTCTCCTTTTTGTCATTTCTTATCTTCTTCCTCTCCTACTTCACTGTAGGAAAAGATAGATTTCTATGCCCAGCTGGGTGTGTATGTTTTTCACTCTTTCAGCCAATTTTGATGAGAGCAAGGTTCAAGCACTTTCTGCCACTGCCATCTTCCACTCCACTGTAAAAGCTCTTATGTGCATTTTTAGGTGAGATAATTTACCTCTTTCTACCTCTTCCTTTTCCCAGTGCATCCCCCTTCTTCACCTTTTAATTTTTTTTTAGATATCATCCCATCATGATCAACTCACACCTCTGCTTTCCATGTATACTCCTTTTAACTGCTCTAATAATTATAAGGTTCTTAGGAGTTACACATATCATCTTCCCATGTAAGAATGTAAACAGTTTAACTTTATCAAATCCTTTATAATTTCTTTTTCCTGTTTAGCTTTTTATGTGTTTCTTGCATCTTGTATTTGAAAATACAAATTTCTGTTCAGCTCTGGTCTTTTCATCAGGAATTCTTGAAAGTCCTCTATT